GGACGGGGCGTGGGAAGTGCTGCACGCACAGACCCCAGTGAGTTTTTGTGGCCGTTTGCCGGTGGGAAGTCAATGGCAAACTCCGGCAGGCAGTGTCAGGTGGCACTGCGCAGGGAAACGGCTGCTGGAGGGGTTTATGCAGGCTGGCTTTGTTAATCACCAGTAAAACGATGATGATTATAATAATACCTGAAAAATCTGCTTATGGTTGCAGATGGGCCGGAAAGCTAGGGGAGAGCTTTCGCATAATGAATTGCTTGGGTCGTTTCAGCAGCTCTGCTTCTAACTTTGGCAGTTCTGCGAGCAGAAGCAGCACTTCCACAGAGCTTTTCCCTGCTTGTGCCTTTCCCTCAGCTCTGCTTTGTGTCGTGGATGTGCCACGGGAAGTGTTGTTTGTTTGTTTGTTTCAAGTTCGGATTAATTCGGGTTTTTTAATACAAACATGAACCTGTCCTCAGGAGTTGACATCACTGAGGAATCAGCCAATTGGTTGCGGTTAAACCAACCTTCTTTTTACACACAAACCCCATCAAAGAGTTGTTTACGCTAATGTCCTTTTGAAATGCAAATCTGGAATGCCAACAGACTGAAACTCAATTTAGATTAATGTAATTACCTGCAATGCACAAATGAGGCTATACGATTTAATAGTCTGCACTTAAACCTTTTTAGCAGATCAAAAAGGCTCTTATTGTTGGAGTTTAGTAGGACAACAGCAATTAAAAGATGCCTCTGTGTGATTCCTGGTGTTGCCTTTACAACTTTTCAGAGGCTTGTGTTTTCACTCTGGTACTCTGAAAGAAAAGTGTCTGAAATAACCACAGTTCATAGAGGAGAAAGTGTAACGCTTTGTGCTGCCTCAGGTGCACATCTCATAGGGAGGTTCTCTTCTGCTGCTTTCTCCTTAGCAAATTGTTTTCCGTGGGAAAAGTAATGGTTTCTTTTCTTGCTTTAGGCTTTAAAGAAGTCAATGCTCCAACCATCACCCCACCCCTCAGTCAGCCCAAAAGGTCAAAAAAACGCCACACCAACTTGACACTGGATAAAATGATGGAAAAATTCCTGCAGCAGAGCATGGATACGGACGAGAAGTTCTACAGGTTCGAAGAGCAGAGGCTCAAAATCGAGGACAAGCGTCGGGAGGCTGAGCACGCTCGGGAGCTCCAGATGTTACAGATGTTGGGACAGATGTTGACAGGAATCTCTTCCTCAGTGTCGCAGAGGTCGCAGTCGATACCAGCGAGTCCTCCTCGGCGAGCAAACCACCGCTCGTACGCGGATAACTTTAATTACAGTGCTATGACAGCAGCACTTTCTCCACCCATAGGTACTTCCCTCTACAGCATAAGTACAACCTAGGGGGTTCCTAAACCTTCTCTGTGAAAGCACTGGTAGTAAGCAGCTTTTGCAAATAAAATGGGATGATTTCATACGGTGGTGAAGGTGTCTGTCTGGTATCGAGCGAAATTAAGTCGCCATTCGTGTCGTTGTGCTGATTATTTGGTGTAGGTGCATTAGTTACAACACGTTTTAATGAGCAAACTCTTACCTTTGGAACCCTGTAAGCACTGGGGACTTCTGCCCTCATTCACATCTCTGTAAAGTGGATTTAGGAGAAGTTTTTGATGTAAAAGGCAAGTGGCAGCTGCTGAAAGCTGTGGGGAAGTATTATAGACTTCATAGCATAAGTTCTGTTGCTGTTGAAGTTGCCAAGCCTAACCCACTCTATGAAGCTAAAGCTGTGCATGTGTTCTTTCAGGGCTGGGGAAAAAAGCGGAGTTTTGCCTGAGCTGAAGTAAGTCAGATGTTAAAATCTACTTCTTTAAAATAAATTTCTTTCCAACAAAATTCTGAACCTTATTGTTAATTAATTGCTGTGGTGTTACAGTAGGTGTGATAGAAGGAAGGTGAAAACATTGGCTTATGTTTTTCTTCTACACCAGCTCATTTAGGAATCCTTTGGGTGCCTGGATTAATTTTAAAGGCAAAGCAGCAGCTCTAGAATTGGTGTTTATGCACAGACTTCTCCTTCACTCCCTGGTGTGTGGGCCAGAGGCTGACACTGAGATAGCAGCAATTCTTAACAGACTCCTGGGGATCTGTGGCATTTCTCTCTGGAGCTGTGGGGAGGAGGAAATCAGGGATGCTCTGTCCATGCTGGAATTGGAGCCAGGTTGGGGTTTGGTGGTTGTAGACTGACACGTGGGAACCACCCAGATCTTATTCTGTTCTAATTCTTTTCGCTGCTCAGAAGGAAAAAAGTGTTGTTTGAAAAGAGAGAAAAAAACCACCCAGCCTGAGTGTTAAACAATAATGTGGCATGCCAGATCCTAACAGGCATTCTCTGCATCCTGAGAGGATCCTGGAGCTGTTTCAGCTGTACATTTCCCTGTGAAACGTGCTGGGTGGTTGGGCCTGTGGAAGGTTCAGGCTGGGTAACCTGGTTGTGGTTCTCCTGGGCTGGATAGCTGCTCTGTTTGTGTTGATGGCAACAGATTGGCATAGGGGAATTGTGGCACGCATGGATCCAGCATTTGAAATGTTGTTTGCACTTGTAAATGAAAAGCAAAACTGAAATGCTTTGGAAAATCCCTGAGGAAATCATGTCAGGTTCTAGGCTGGGGTGATAGTGGTACCTGCAAGGCCATTACTGCTGGAAGGTTAATTATCTGTAGTGACTTCAGTTTTTCTTGCTGGATTCATCACATGGGTGCACTCATCCTGTACTGTGCAAAAATGCACTGTATGTGTTTGTACCAAGAGTAGTTTGGGATTCGAATCTTCTAAGTGGTGAAGGTGTAACAGAGCATTGTGTACTCAGATGTGAACATAACTCTTCAGGCAGCACATCTTTCAAGGAGTTAACTCTTATCTTTTGAGGAGTTAAGTTTTATCTTTTAGGGAGTTAGGTTTTCAGTTATTTATAGGTAAGTATGCCTTAATGATTGTGTAGGTAGAGTAGAGCTCTGTTAAGGAGTGCTTTATTGGCATAATTCTCTGTTTTCTCTCCATTTATTATGCAGTCACTTTGCATATAAAACCCCACAGCAATAAGGAATCAGAGGACCTTCTCAGCAGCACTGCACTTTCAGGGTTACAAGCTGCATTATACTCTTGTGTGACTGAAAAGCAGTGAGTGTATGCAGTGTGATTTCAGAAAAATAATCTGCCCTATTTCCAGAGGAGATGAGCGTTGTGTTCTCCTCCGGGTCACTGCAGTGCTATTTTGGCTGTAATCCAAACCAGGTTGTGGGTTTTTTCCTTTTCCTTTTATTTTCATTCCTTTTCTTTCCTTTTTTTTCCCCCCTATTTTTTATCTGGGCTCGGTAGGAGTGGGATGTCTGTGTTATAGAAGGATTTTAAAAGTGAAGATCAGACAGGAGTATTTGTCATTACTGATCACTAAAGCATTTTATTGCTGCTTGAGGTTTAGTTTTGGGGAAGACAGAGGAAAAGATGCTTTTTGCTGACAGCTCACACACGTGGAGTTCTCTTCTTTATTGCATCTTACACTCAAAATTTCTGCTTCAGTTTTTCTTCTTTATTTTGTCTCTGTATTTTTCCCCTTCCCTTTTTTCTCTCCTTTATAGTTTGGAGTTACTGAGTTTTGTACTGCTGAAAATAAGGAGTACCAGGGGAGGTTTATTTCTACATAATTATGTCTTACTGTTACAGTAGTTCCTTGAAAGCTCTTTAGAAGAAGTGTAAAAAGTACAGTCACATGGTCACAGCCTAGGACACCAGTCTTAACCCTGAGATGAACTGCTCTTCTGGACAGAACTGTACAGTTAATGAGGCTCTTACTCTTTTAGTGTCTTCACTGCAATTTGTAATTAACACATCACTGATAGAAGTTCTGGTCTTCAAACTACCATGTTAAGTTTTCATTCTCTCTAGTTGTAATTGCTGAAATACTTTCTGCTTCCACATTTTTGTAGCGTAATTGAATGTAATCTGAATATTCTCCTGGCTGTGCAGTTGTCTCAGTGTGTGGCTTGACATGTAGGTTTGCATCAGAGATCTGGAGCTGATGCCAGCTCAAAATGATCTGTTTGTGGTGGTGTTTGCAGCTAGTTCACTGGGTTATGGTTTTGCAGAAAGACTCTCATTATGCTTTGTAACCACCTGCTGGAACAAAGCAGCCGTGGGAGAGGCTCTGGTTCTGCTCAGAGAGGGGAAGAGAAATAGGGTGTGTGTTAAAACTTGGGCTCAGTTGCTTTGTGCTTGCTCTGTGCCTGGGTGTGTTCAGTCCTTGCTAAGTGCACCTGTTTCAGTGGAGCTTCGTTATGGAAGCGATTTCAGACTGAACCACGAAGATATTTCTAGTTACAAGATGTTCATAGAACTATTCTGGGTTGTTATTTCTCCCTGTACCTGAGCCCTAAATTAGAGCTGTGAACAGCCAGTGAGAACATACCCTGCATCAGGCCCTAAGTGCGTTTTTAGACTCATCACCTTCCCCAGTCACTCACTGTTTCACAGGTCTTGGAGTGACAGAGCATTTGGGTTTTGGAGCTGTGTCACTTCACGGATCTTTGTGTGGTTTCGTTAGTGTTCCTGAGCACTTAAAAGAAATGCAAGGGGTGGCTTGGGATAGAGCATTAAAGTAACACTTATTTTCTTCTTTTCAGTTATAGAGAGGTCGTTTTCACTGCACAGAACACACTCTTTAAAGGACATGGAGAATATTTTCCAGCTGGTGCGCAATGTCATCCCTCCTCTCACAGGGAAAAAGCATAAAGGTCAAGATGGGCGAATAGGCATCGTCGGAGGATGCCGAGAGTAAGTTCAACACAAACTCGACTTTTGCATCTGGGAGAGTTGGAGGATGTCACAAGCACTTGTAGAAACCATTCAAATTCACATTTAGAGCATGAGTCTTTTCCAGAAAGCTCTGCTAGTCCCTCACCGTGGCTGTGCCCACTGAGGAAAGAACATGTTTCCTTGCAGATGTTACTGAATGTGATTGAAACTTAAAATGCTGTTTGCATCCATGTCTGCCTTCTCTGTCCTTTCTGACCACCAAACCCTCTGTGTTCAGTATTGGTCTCTTCCCACTGCATGGTGAAGTTAAGGAATAAATAGAACAGAGTAAGACAGTGACACATCTGATTTTTGCTTAATATTTTGGTGTTTTGGGTCTCTTCGACCAGGAATGGAGGATTTTCTTACTGTGCACTGTTCATTTTGATAAACTGTGGTATTTACGAGGTGATGTCAATACCTTGCATTGTGTGCTGGAGTAATGGAAATAGCATGGGTTAGGGAGAAAAGAGACAAAGCATAAATCAGTTCCGTGTGATCCTGACCTAGAAATAAAACAGGCTCTGTTAACAAAATGAAGTGCAAGGTCCTA